TTTATCTTATTTGTCCACGTGTGTACGCACCATTTTAGTCGATTTTAGAAAATAGAAACTGCTATAAATATAGACTAAACAGGTTCCTTTATAGAAGAGGTTCTTATAAAACTAAATTTTTACTTCCTCTTGAAAGTATTGAGGTATTGAGGAAACAAAGCTCTACAGCGACAACTCTGGTAAACCAACCCCTTTACCTTTTTGTTATTCATTTAAAATATTTCTCTGTTTCTGACTGGCTAAAATTCCAAGCCAATTCTTGTTGCACATGTTGTGCAAGACTTTCATCTTTCAACTTTATTTACACTTCAAGTATTATTTACTTTACAAGTTAGGTGAAATTAGGGGAAATTGGAATAAGCTGAAATAAAATGGCTTTTTGCAGAAGTGTACGGTGGACAGGAGCAGAACTTTCGAGCTGACCACCGCTTACAGGGAATATAAAATATAGACTAAGTGCCAAAGCTAACTAGAGAAGGTTAGTTACTTCAGCATGTTTCATGTTATTGTGAGATTAATAAAAATGTTTTGTAATTTTTCTTGAATTGAAAATAGCCAAGAGTCTTCATGCTAGTATGAATCTCCTTCCAAATTTTTTACAATGGCAGAAAAAAGTGTGTTTACATTTGGCATTGAAAAATTTAGTTTGGAATCATACCTGGTGTTATGTGGGTGGAAGACGTATACTAAATATATAACAGGGGGATATGCCTGTTAGGTTATGTGAATAATGAACAATTATTCCTCGAGCCCGAATGGGCTCTAAGTCAATAGCCCATGAGGCCGAAGGCCGTATGGGCTAATGAATCGGAGGCCATGAGGGCGAGAAGAATAATTGTTTTAGTAAAATCCAACTAGTTGGTCAAAAATATCGAGAATAAAAAACCTTTAGCTAGTTTTAAAGCTAGACTTTAATCATTTTTTGCCGCCAAAAAGCCCGCGCTTTTCGCTACTAGTGGGCTATAACATATAGCCTGGTAATAGCTCAACCAAACAGAACGCAGCGTTGATGATAGACCACTAGTTGGATTTTACTTAAGTGTCATTACAAGTAGTATTTCATGTTTAATACTGAAGAATTTGAATTATTACTTTTTATCTAGATTTTTGTTATTTTCTTTCCAATTTTTCTATCTCCATTACATATTGAAAGAGCATTGAGATTCTTATGTAATGCGTGAGGAATAAAACGGTTTGTTTATTGGCAGCACTAGTTTCTGACCCTGTCTGATTTTATTTTAAACATGAAACGTTCCCCTAATCTAAGTGGAAAAGGAGTTTTGATTACGGTCTTTGCTTTCTTGGAAGCGGAAAGGAACGTAAAATTAAATGCTTTAAAAGCAGATGTCAGTAAATATCGACCAGAGGTCTACAAAAATGAAAAATCCGAAATTCTCAAAACAATTCACAAAGTAGCACTAGGTAAGCTGTTAACATGAATGTGGTTTTTACTTCGATCCGATAATTATTTTAGACGTACGGGGTATTGGTTTCGCGGCTCTCGCACCGGGTTTTACAGGCCCGAGACGGCGTGTCACGAAAAAATCGTCTTTTTTTTAATGCGAACAACGAGTTACTTATCCAGAAAAGTACATAATTATATACCTTTTTGAGGGGTGATTTACTCAGTTTTAACCAAGGTGTAATATTTTGGAGATTTTTCATTATTTTCAATATTTTGAAATCTGTTTTCAAAACTATGGGCAACTTAAAAGAAAATTTTTAAGGCCCAAAAATACAAGTAGTACTTTTCTGAAATTTGAGCTTTCGTCGCTCAGCGGGGCGATGTTAAAAACTCGGAAAAATACTATAAGAAATCAGTTTGAACAACAGTGGTTTGATTTTATCAGCTTTCATAGACCAAGACTTGTTTATCCAGCGATCTGATATAATTTAAACCGTTTGCTCACAAGAAAGGCAGATTTACGCTGTCAACTCCTGCCAAGTGCATGAGTCACGTAAGTTTGTCAAAGGGCAAGGCGCTAGAATAAACCAGATAAACTTTGAAAATCACAACGTTTTTACGTCCAGGAATTGAATTTTACCGAACAGAACAATGGCTATGAGTGCATGTTTCATACCTTAGCATGGGTTTCCTAGATATTGCAACTAATAAAAGATCAAGGACAGCATCGGCAAGAGCATCTTTGGCTGCTCTCAAACGGCGACGGACTGATTGCCTTACTTTTCACAGATTGACCGCTTACCACCTGTTTTTGGCTTCGTATTTCGACGCAACACTTACGACTGGTATTGCGCGCGGCACTGGTACTTTATGGTCAAGTTCTTAAATCTTCTTCACGAGACATTTAACTGAATTCATGATAAAAATGCTTTCAGGAAATAAAAAATATAAAAAAAAGATCAGCTGGGCGCATGTGCGTATATAAAGGACACTACGCCCCTGCTAACTTAAGACCCGCTCTTATAAATGGGACAGTTAGCGTCCTATTCCAGAAGCTTTGTCAATCTGTTTTGTGTCTGATCCCAGAGTATTTTTTGTTTGTTTGTTTTTACACCGTTTCAAACGTTCATTTCTCGAAATTCGCTATCAGCGCAGGCGATACCGCCGGGGTGGGGGGCGCGCGGGGGGCGGGCTTTAGTAGTGTGTCTTTCCTTGCTGAAGAGGCCGAAAACTGAGAGTTTCTGTATATAAAAAAAATACGCATCCCCTGGATACCTTAAAAAACCGAGGAACTTTTATTTTCGTTATGTCAGAAGCCCATAACCAGCTCCTGTGGTTGTGAACTTCTTCAAGGCCGAAAATTTCAGTAAAAACCGAAAACAACATCTAAAAGGAAGCACACAGTTTGGACTAAACAGGGAAAGAGGCTTCTGATTTTCTAAAATGTCATTGATGCACGGTTCAATAAGACTTTGTTACTACCCCTTGGGCATCCACAGGGACAAGTCCAGCCCTTCGGGCCAAAGGGTGGGGAGTTGCTTGAAGCGGTCATTTCCCGGACTTTCGGGGGTATTTGGCGGGGCAAATCGAAAATAACTTCTCTTTGTTTTTGTGAAAAACATCATTTCTCGCGCGGTTGACAAGATGGCGGCGGACTCCGTAGCTGTGGAAAGGTGCTTGTGAAACATGTCCCTGCAACATATAGGGCAGAACGTGCGCGCGAGAAGATACGCGTGTCTCGCTCGCGCGCCCCGTTCTTTCTTGCGCCCACCACTTCCAAGCGCCTGTTAGGCAGGCTAAACAAGACATGGTCACCAAATCGAAATAAACTCAATATGGCGAAAGTATGATGGTCGATTTCATAGCAAAAAGGATACATCACCGAACCTCTTATGCCTGGAAATGTTGTTATAATGCTCATCTTTCAAATCAAAAGAATTATTTAGGTCAAAAAGGTTAAACCTTGTCGTTTCTTTCTCCTTTCCTTTTCTTTGTTGTTTGATAATGCTAAAAAATTGGGTCGATCGGACGACGCTAAACGAAGAAAAAAGGGGAGATGCCCTTTTAATATAGTTATTTGGCTCCCTCAGAGTATAAAAGTATAAGTTTACAATGCCAGGATCCAACCTCGTCTCCAGGGCGCTTTTTTCTGGCTTTGGAGGTAGGTAAGAGCGAGGAGAAACGGATGTTTTCGCAGGGTAGAAGAAGGTAATACCTCCAAAGGTATTACTCTTTTTTCGGGAAAATTTCCACCGGGACGAATTTGTATTCTCCCTGGAATTTCCGAGTTTTCCAGACAAATGGTAAGCGCTCTTGGTTTCGGATGGTCATGTGGAAATGTGTGTCAATAAATTGCGCAGCGGGGTAGCTCCTCTACTAAATCGAATGGACGTTGAAATACTATCTGGAGTAGGGAGAAGATTCTTGCTTCAAAATGACGCTTGAGTTTCTGAGCTGCATGCAAACTGCGTTGCTTTCGGCTAGTTACGATAACATTATTTTGAGAGACTTTGTACTTGAAAAAAAGATTTGCTCGCCTTCCTACCAACAGGATACGAAAAATCTTGCTCGATTTGCTCGTGCAAAATCAGCTTTCCATAAGTTTGCATACTCAGCACCTCCAGTTCATGAAAAGGAAAAGACTATGCAGTGTAGTAAGGTTATTTTCCGCTGTGGTTAATTTATCGGCTGGTGCACGATATACCAAGTAAATAGTCAAACTCGTTCCTAGCGTTCTCTCTCTTGCAGTATGCAATACTATTTTTTTCGGGTGTAGTTGACATTTTCAAATACCCACGCCATCAGCTGAGTAAAGGAGGCGGCAAATTCCTCTCGGGCCCCGACAGAGCAACTTATGTCGTAGCGACAATTATTTACTGTTCTTCCTCTCCCTTATTTTTGGCTCCCAGATTTTGGGCACCACGTGACCAGCCGCAACAGGGACTCTTTCTCGAAGCAAGATAGAGAACCCTAGGAACGAGGTTGTTGTATCCTTTGGTTCAGTGACGTCAGCGATACCTTCAGCTAGGTTTCTTCGCCAATCTTGCTTTGAATAGAGAGATGGTCAGTAGACTCCAGTTTCATCAAGGGGGACGCCTAGTGCGGGCTACGTGAATGTCATTTTGACAAGCCAACTTATAAATCAAGCGCAAGCCAATTGTTTATTTTTGTTTGAGAGTTCATTTATTTTGTTGTGATTCTTTTGTTAACGTTTTCCTCGAAGTTACAACATGCACTGTACTCATGATGAGGGTAAATCATCCCTTTTCCTCTTCCCAAAGCAAGAATATGTTCTGATGTTCTGATTAAACTCCTAAATTCATTAACAGTCTGAGTAACTTTTTTTCGACTGTGATAATCGCAAGGCTGCATCATACGACGTTATATATATTCCATGAACAAAACATGTCGTCCTAGCATGGGCCCTACGTACTTGTGATACGCGCGCACTGACCCCCCCCCCCCCCCCGATCCCATCTGACCCACCCCACACAAAAGTTATATTAAACAACATTTTATTTACACTACAGAAATCATGCGAAACCCCATGTTCTTCGCCCTCAAATAGTATTTGTTTCGCTTTAGTGTCCTATTTTTGTCATATTCAGTTGGAATCGAACTTAAAATGGCGGAAGGTGAGACTCAACGCATTGAGCTGATTAGTAGAATCGACGATATAGGGACGATGAATCAAGTAATGGGGGCGCTTGGCATTCCTTCGAAAGGGTGTCAAACGATGCAAGATATGAAAGATCTAGTAATAACGAAAACAAACCAGTCTTCAAAATCAATCAGTTGGAGTGCAGGACAGGTAAGAATGATTGCTGTTAAGAGGAGAGATATTCAGATCATGTTATTCTTCATTAGCGCGTTATTGATCGCATTACTAAGTAACAGGCTTCTTGTAAGATGTTATTTCTGAGACAGGGCTTTGTGCAAGTAGTTTGTGTGAAAACTCCACATAAGAGTCCTTTGAACGTAATTTAACTGCGACATTTCAGATTTATATGTTTGAGGACAGCTACATAGACAGCTCTTTGATTTGCTTCAACTGTTTCGTATGAAACGGGCTTTCTGTCGTTTCTACAAACATCTGGTAGACGAAGAACTAGGCAAGCGTGGAAGTAAGTCATGAGGGTAATTATTGAGGCCTCTAGGGCCTGGTATTGCGTTGTAGTTTCAAATCTGTTTAATGTATATTTTCCTTTCTTGCTTCATGAAATATGAAATGTCAGACGAATGGCACATCTTTTGTTCCTGTCACATTTCCCTGTAGCTTTTATATTAAGGCTAGTACCTTACTGGACAGGATACTCACATCTAACAAATCAAACCCCATTTTTTCATGAACAGTGAGCGATCATCTAAGTTTTCGTAGAGCTATCCGACAGTAATCGAAGCCGTTGTTTATCGATGCGTGGAGGGAAGCCGGCATACCATCGGGGAGCTTGTCCGTGTCGTAACAGATTCACTGCAGCAATAATGCATTGCTTTTACTAAGTACTATATTTCCTGGGACGGGAATAAGCTAGCTAGGTTATCAATTAGGTCCAAAATTCGATCTACCATGGTGTAACAGATCAGTGTCATTCTGAGATATACATGTATCACAGCCGCAAGTGCAAATAGCAGCAGGGGCGTAGTTAGGTATTTTCCAGCGGAACACACGGTTTTCCAAATCCACCCTAACCTATCTGCCTCCCAAGCCGCATTAACGGTTTACTTAAAGAATGAATCAGTTCATGGTGAAGACTTTTAAGTATGCTCTGTTAATAGTCCTTATATTTGTAGAATTTTAAGGTGTAAGTTTTGAGTATCTTTGTCATTTATGAGAGGTAAGCGTCCGGGGGTAGGCGTTGCAATCAGCATTTTGCAAATGCTGACAATCCCTGAAACCGTCGTCCTGTTATTGTGAGCGTGAAAGTGAAATTAAAACGGTCTGCTTTCACTGATCGACTTCACTGCTAGTGGGCAGTTAGTATAAAGTGAATTTGCGCTCTCTGAATTTGTCGTGAGCGAGCTCCAGTCATGCGGGAACATGATTAGGCAAGTAACGCGCGGCACAAGTTTCAAAACAGAAAGAAAAATATCATCAGGTATGGGTTTCAGCTCAATACAAAAGTTGGAATTCGGAGATTTCATCTCGCAATCGTGCAGGTACAATAAAGAAATGTACCATGAAAAGCCGTGATGCACCAAGGTGCAGGTGCCACCGTCAAAAGTTTCTCAGTTATCCGGACTTTTAAAAGGACTGGTTCACGGTTGAGCGGATGCTCATTCGTCAAAATGCTGTTTTTCTGCCGAGACATGCTGCATCGTCTATGCAAGCAATATGATCATGTCATAATGTTGTCAAAGAACCAATCTGCACACTCCCCTGGCAGTCACTTGCACTTGATCAGCTTAAATATTTGCAAATAGCTGTAAATTTATCAACCATGGAGTAAAACCTTCAGGGTCAACAATAAATTTAACGTTGGTAGTGTTGGCATAATTCACTAATTTTTTTTCTGCGATTTTAGTACTCCTCCATGCTACTTCGTTCCTCTGAAATACACTTGTACTTTGAAATACACTCTGAGATCGCTGAGATACAACTGAGTGGGATTATTAACCGATAGAATTAATAATAAATTGGAAAAAAAGTAATTTAATTCATGAGTATGCGCTTAACCGTGAAACTGTCTCTTTAAATCAGAAGCAATTGGTGAACAGTAAATGGTGATGGGTCAATCGTTTTTTTCTATTTAGTTCTTAACAGATTTGACTTGTCTTCTTTCCGCAGGCCTTTTCCATTTTGTCAGATGCAAAAGATGACGATGTAAGAAAAAGAGCTAGGTTACGGAGTCTTTACACTGAAGCTGAGGCATTCCTGGAAGAACTTGACCCCCAAATTGTTGCCCCGCTACAACAGAGTGTTCCCGATTTTGCGCAGAAGCTGAAAAACCACAAGCTGCAACTAACACAGAAGGAGTACTTTGTGCTTGTAGCAGGTAAATCATAGTACACTTATAAACTTAAAGAACATTAATATTCATTCAAAACATCTCTCATTTTCTGATTGGCTTAAATCCCCAACCAATTCCTTATGATCGTCAATGTGGCAGGTAGATCGTGCATTCACTAATCGGATGCGTACTTGAAACCGCAGAGAATACACCTGGAGTGGTCAATCGAAAAAAATCGGTATCAATTTATCGACAATCGATAAAAATCGGTAAATCTGATTTGCGTGATATCGATTGTATCGATCAATCGGTAGAAATCGATGACACACTCGCTTCGTTCCTCAATTTATCTTGATTTTTACCGATTTCATCCATTTATATCGGAACATACATCTGTTCATCTGTTTATCAAAAAACAGACATCCCTTCGACTCGAAGGAACGTCTGAAATTCAGGCTTAGGTTGTATTTCTCGCGATACTTGCCTGCGAGAACTGAATGTAAATAGACCGCAACCTCGTTCCCAGGTTCTCTCTCCTACCCGTCCTACCCTGGCCCTACCCTCTCTCTCTCTTCGTAGGGACCGGTAGGAGAGAACCCTGGGAACGAGGTTGGGTAGACCGAACCGTCCCTTTAATAATAATAATAATAATAATAATAATAATAATAACAATAATAATAATAATAATAATAGACACTTATATAGCGCGGTATCAACTAATTGCTCAAAGCGCTGTACAATGATATGGTAAGAAACTAGAGTTAAAAACTGTTATAAGATAAGATAAAATTAAATAAAGCTACTAAAATCAAACACTGTAGGCTAATTTAAATAAGTATGTCTTCGACTGCGTCCTGAACTGGTCGGCAGATGTAACATCCCTGAGTTCAGGGGGCAATTGATTCCATAACCTGGGAGCAGCTGCGGAAAGAGCCCTATCACCATACGTCTTTAACCTAGTCCTAGGCACGGCTAGAAAATTCTGGCAACTAGAACGAAGTAATCGTGGACCATTAGTGTAGCGTAAAAGTTCGGATAGGTAAGTTGGTGCCAAGCCATTAAGACATTTGTAAACTAAGAGGAAAATTTTAAAATGTATGCGATAATTTAGAGGTAACCAATGAAGTTTGAACAGGATAGGAGTGATATGGTCAAACCGCTTAGATAAAGTAACAATGCGTGGAGCAGTGTTTTGTATCAATCTTAACCTGTTTAACAGGTGTTTAGGAAGGCCATATAACAAAGAGTTACAGTTATCGAGTTTAGAGGTAAGAAATGCATGTACTAAAATTTGAGGGGTATCTTCGCTTAACAAGTACTTCCTGATCTTAGCTATGTTCCTTAGATGATATTGACAGGAAACGCAGATTTTGTTAACATATGGTCGGTTAAATCAAGACTCTGATCTATAATTACCCCCAGATTTCGGGCGGAAGGTTTGGGTTGGATCTTCTCATCAACCACCTGGATAGACTCCAGAAAAGGCCTGCAACGAAAATTGCGATGCACAAAATAAAGGGTTTTAAAGGGAAACTTGTGCGTAGTTTCCACATTTCTTATTTTCATGTTTGCTGACGAGATCGATGTTACTCGTGGATGTGTTTCCTCAGCGCTACTTACATAACTCTTGCCAAACTGAACAGCAATGGCGGGCTTCTGGTACAAATCGTTAAAATCATGAAAAATCGTTAATATCGATTTGACACAGGAATTCCGTTTATCGATTCTCACCGATTTGTGTTATCAATCGATAAAAATCACTTGATTGCTACCGATTATTATTGATTGACTAATCCGGGAATACAACAACCTTTTTTTCTGGTACAGTCACGAAACCGCGACAGCGAAAAACAGTTGTCGCAAAAATAGGTTTCTATCTATTGTCAATAAAAAAATGATTATCGGCAATTACAGATTGATCGATTGGCTTTCCGATATTGGTTTTTATCGATTGGAATGCACTAGTCAGGCTGATAAAGGTCTGTAGTGAAGGCTGACACTTATTTATCCGCTGGACAAGATAAGTTTATAAGCTCCTTTGACTCGCAGCAAGTTTATTTCCATAACATTCCACAACCAGAGGGTAATTTTGAACATTTCTGACGTCGACGTACAAGGTTGCAGGCCTTGAAATTTGTTTAAATGTCAGTATTTTTTTGTTCTATTCTATTGTTTACTTCCTCATCGCCTTTCCGTAAGGATCAGTTTGCCTTTTCATATTTTTCTACAAGAGAGATCATTGGTTTGTTGCTGAGGACTTGCTGACATTTTATACAAATATAAAGCCCTTGAAATGCAACATTTTGCTGCGATTTTGTTTTAATCGTTTTATACAATAAAACTTTTTGCTGTGGTCCTGTTTTACGAGACGTTTTTATGAACGTTTGCACAAAAAAGTGCAAAATAACCGAAATTTTAAATTTTGCTAATAAACGGCCAGACCACGCTCCAATTTTGACGCAATATCCCGTAACATCCCGTAATATGTAGCACCTTACAATTTCGTTCCTAGTTTTCTTAACCTCGTTCCCAGGATTCTTTCTCCTTTGAATGACGACCATAGTTCGATTGTTTTCTTGAGTCCTTCCAAGTGGCTTATCTTATATATTGGTAACTTGTTATCTTCACAGGAGAGACAAGTTCTGGGAAAAGTAGCTTGATAAATCTTATTTTGGGAGAAGAGCTTCTTCCATATTCTGTTCTCAATAAAACGTCTACCATTTGCGAGCTAAGATTTGGGGAGGAACGTAAAATTGTTACCCACTATAAAGATAAGGATCCTGAAACAGGCCTACCAACAAAAGTTGTCCCCTTAAGAGGGTGTCAAGGCGGAGAATCAACAGAACAAGGCTATCTTCAGCAGATTACACCTTATGTTCATGTAAAAAGTGATCGCGAAAGAGGATCAATTTTCAAAAAGATTGAGCTCTTTTGGCCTCACAGTCTCTTGGAGGTAGGCTTGATAGACTTAATACAGTTTAAAGTAAGTGTTGTAGTTTGAGGTCAATTTTATGATACATCAACTCATCATTCTAGGTATGGCTATAGAAAAGGTTATAGAAGGAATGAAGGAATACTATCGAGTGTGATTAGTAATGGATATATAACTGTACTACTGCTTAAATATATGTATTTTTTGGTTAGTATCGTGACTGTTACACAGTAATCAGCAAAAAGCATTATTGATATTATTTCCCCTGGCTAACGACTGTTTGTTCAGATAAGCATACAAACGTGTAATGAGGAAACTTTTTTTAAAGCTTTTGAAAAGGACTAATATAAATCAAAGCTAGCTTTTCATTTGTATTTGAGAAAGGAATTGTGATAGTTGACAGCCCTGGAGTTGGCGAGTCGGATATTATGGACGAGATAGTTACGCAGTATCTTCCCCAGGCATTCGCTTTCCTTTATGTCATCAACAGTGCAAACGCTGGTGGAGTTCAGAGAGACCGAGTAAGTATCGCAAAAACGATTTTTCACCCATGGAAAGGAGTCATAAGTGCAAATTTAAGGAGCATATTGTTTTAGAAGCTACGAGAAAAGAAAACCTGCGACTTGTCAGAGAACAACTCTACCGAAATGTCAGTAAAATGGGCGAGGTGACATTTTCATTGTTGCAGCGAATCCTCTTTATCATCATCAATCTTTATTTACACACGAAATCGTATCATTTTACATGGTCTTCCTAGGAATCGTGTTTAAAACTACACTAAAATACTCTAAGGAACTATTTGACTATAATGTTAAAAATACAAAAACTTACTTTATTAATAACAAGCTAAAGAGTTACAATGAGTCATTGTGTATAAAAATAATCTTTCCCATGAATTGAAGTTTTAATAACATTTAAACTAGGCAGTTTTCTAATCTCTGAGGGAATCTTGTTCCACAGAACAGATCCTTTGTCGTGTAGTCTTCCTTTTGCAGACTCATTTCTGGGTCAGGGGGCATAATAATTTCACTCAGAAGTTCTAAGATTGTGTGAATGTACATTTGAGGTGTTGGTAAAGATCCGCCTCAGATACGACGGGGAAAGATTATTATGGATTTATACATTGTCACAGACAACTGTTTAAGTCTTACATATTCTAGCCTTTCCCAGCCAAGCTCATCCAATAAAACACTTGAGCGAACGTCATAGTTAGAAAAGGTGAGAATTCTAGCAGCCCTATTCTGCATCTTTTGAAGTTTGTCTGCTAGTCCCATATAGATATTACCCCACACAGCACCGCGGTAATTGAAATATGGCATTACCAGTGCACTGAACATATTCACTCTAGTATGAAATGGCATAAAATGAGTTACACGCTTTAAGATAGCAATACCCGCGGATATTTTCTTTGAAATGGTATTAATGTGTGGACGCCAGTTCAAAGATTCATCAATTTTAACTCCAAGGGATTTATGTGTAAATAGGGAGCTTTAGCAACGTCGACAGCGACGGCAACCAGAACGTCAAAAAAGCAATAGGTTTATATTAGCAAAACAACAACTTTGCACGTGCATCACGCTTTTTTGTACATTTCTTCACGGTCCTTGCACGACTACGACGTGAAAACGCCTAATTGCAAGTTTTATGGAGGACGTAAACAAGCGAGGACGAATCTCAACTCAACTCCTAGGAAATTCGCCTACACTTGCCATTTTCAGCAAATTGGAATAAACGCGACAAAGATTGAAAAAACGGGAATTCATTTTAAAACTGACGTTTTCGCTGCCGTTGCCGTCGTCAATGCTAAAACTCCCTATTACCCTTTCTAAGGGTGTATTATTGACTTTGACTGTGAAGTCACTATTTATTTGGGATAACTTAAATTGGCTCCCTATAAGCACTTATTTAGTCTTCTTAACATTTAAAGTTAATTTGTTTGCTGGCAGCTATGACTGAATTAAATTCATATCATAATTCATTTTACGTTCAAGGACACATGGGTCTTCTGCAGATGAGGTAAAGGTAGTATCATCTGCATACATTCTGGGTTTTGAAAACAAATTACATGAAGGGAGATCATTAATATAAATAGTAAATAAGAGAGTGCCTAAAAGAGACCCTTGTAGAATACCACATGTTACATTACAGATATCAGATTGAACTCCATCAATAACCGTTTGTTCAGCTGTCGGTCCGATAGATAGGACCGGAACAAGTTAAGAGATTGAGAACTGACCCCATAGAGTTTAAGCTTTCCCAGTAGGATAGCATGATCCATGGTATCATAAGCTTTTTTCAAGTCCAGGAATATCACACCATTTAAGAGATTGTTGTCAATATTCCATAGCCATTCATTCGTAGCCTCAAGTAGAGCTGTTTCAGTGGAAAACATAGGTCTGAAGCCAGATTGTGATTCAGTTAACAACTTATTATTATTTAAGTATTCATATAATTGGTTAAAAACAACTCTTTCAATTAATTTACTTACTACAGACAGATCTGAGATAGGTCTGTAGTTGTTAGGATCAGTCTTGAGGTCCTCTTTAAAACTACTTGCGCAGGGGCCATTCGTGGCAGCCAAAAGAGCCAATTAAATTTTAGTCATTAGTAGATCATTTTGCTTGACGTCATTTTAAATGTTTTGCCTATTACTATGGTGCCCTGTAAAGTTTGATTTAGTGCATGTACCATTAATTTTTACCTACTTTAAATTTTCCCCTCATATTCCACTCGGAAGTTGCATTTATATAGTTAAACAAGACACATGGGTGCGTGAACCCGGCCTTCTTTTAGTTCATAAAATGATAGAGCGCCGGGGGAAAATGTGCACTATGTAATAATGCACTATAGCCCATATGAACTTTGATGATGAATTGATGATGAATTAAATGGAAAAATATACTACCGGCTAGCTAATCTAGACGACTTTGGTCGAATGCCCCTTTACGAGCTCCGCATAAATTCAGTGATCATACAAAATATGTCTATTTCGTTACTCTTTCAGTTTGAAAGATTACTAGAGAAAGTCAGAAAAGTGACTCTTGAAAGACAGGGAGCATTACCTACCAAATCTGCCCTTTTTGTGTGCAACAAGTGGGACCAAGTCCCAGAGAAGGAACGGAACGAGGTGAAGAATCACGTGATTGAAAAATTGCAAAGATGTTGGCCTGGGGTTGATCCCGAGTCACAGATCATACATATGTCAACTACAAATGCCATTCTAGCCCAAGACCATAAGATTGTTACCGAGGAATTTTCCACTTTGATGAACGGCTTGAGGCGCATGGTGTTAAAGAGTATTGGAGACATGTTGGAAATTCATTGGAAGTAAGCATCATGTACATATTTTATAGGGGCGATTTTAACATAGCATTGTTGAACGTATGTTAACAGTTAAACGGTAGATATTGGCATATTTGTATCCCCAAAAATTTTTCATCTGTTCGGATTTCCTAGCTGAAAGCCTAGTGATTCGAAAATTTTAGGGATGAAAACTTACCTTTTCGAAAATTTCGGCCAGAAAAAAGGCTCCCGAAAATTCTAGGTGACCTTTATCAGTAGGGTAAAAATCCGTTAAAACTAAATGACCAATCTTATAGATGTTCGAAAATCCTAGGAGAGGGAGGCAAGCAAGAAATTTTACAAGAAATGTTCCGAAAATTCTAAATCTCAAATCGTCTTCTGAACAGATATTTTCCGAAAATTGACTTTGGGTGCTCCTGACTTCTAAGCTTCAGCGAAAACTTAGATCAAGCTCGATCACCGATCACTATCTTTATAGCGCCACGTCTTCGACAATAAATTAACCCCGATAAGCCATGCAGCATCTTGCTTGTGTTCTTTGATCAGTTGCCGTCAACAGATCCAAATGTTCTCTGATTCTGTTTTAACTGTTCCAAACGGAGGAACTTTTAGAGAGAATATAATGAAATCGCAGACGCAACATCGAATTGCTTGTGACCGGATATGTAATCAACCATCTTACCACAGATTATCATATGCCTAACTGCAAGGAAGGCAAATGGCCACGGGACTTTAACACCTTAGGGAAATGCCTGCTGGGAATTCCTGAACCGACCTAAGCCTCTCAGGTGCACACCATCGTGTGCTGAAAAACGGGATTTACAGTTCCAAAAACCTCTGTGTCGCCAGTAAAGAACATAAGGAATCGGCTCCAAAACTACTTTAAGATATTTTGTTAATAATTTAGCTTGGCGATTAAATCAAGCAGCATTACCGCGAAAAATAGTCTGGCAAACACAGACCTTTTGCTCACCGTATGACTCATGCAGCAAACGAGATAAGTCCTCGAGAGCTGATTGGTGCCCAACTGGATGACGACAATCTCTGGGGCAAATGACTCTACTATTCCTGGATCACATCGGATTACTTTAGAAATAGTTCTTCCCCCGATGCCATGCCATTTGATGGAAAGATCTCCATCTATGTGTAAATTTGTTGCAAATACCTTAAAATTTTGATAAAGAAAGGCGTGTAAATGGCGAATAATGGCCGAGAATCAAAACTCCTGTCGGTGACATAAAAGACGATGTCTAAATAAAAAAATAGTAAAAATAATCTGAACTACGGATTACTTGCCTGAAAAGGTTGAAAAGAAACACTCTTGGAAATAATTTTCGGGGGTTCTGTTCAATCTGATGGCGGGGAGAGGAAGCAAGAATATCTTACTAGAACTCTATTTTATACTAGGCATGTGACCTACTTAAACCTGACTGGCTAAACTACTGCTAGTATCCGTGACTGGTCCCAGCCAACTCCAGACGAATATCACGTGCGTACCACGCCTCGATATAAATTACATTATGTCGCACCATTGTGATCGCTTGTTTCAGTCAGTGTACCTTGTTTTTTCAATACGTTTGACTTCTTTTGCCGATTTGTTTGTCGTGTGTTATCCGTGGAACCTATGTAACGAGGACATTGCGCCGCAGACATTCTAATCGAGTCGCTTGGCTTGTTTACGTTCGCACGTATTGCGTGCCTTTTGCAACTTTGAATCAAAACAAACGATCTCGATTACTCTATTTGGGCGACGCCAAATAAAAATGATAACATGTCATCTTATGACTTCACAAAACGGTTTTCCCATGTCTTTTGCGCAGTTAGAAATCTCCTTTTTCATTTTTCCTTTTTTTTTAGCTTTTGACCGTTGTAAAGATGTGTGTAACTTATTATAAATATCATTGGTGACTCGACAATAAAACACTAAAATTTAGGCTTATTTTACAGGGGGTACTCCTTTTTTGTATTCCGAATGTATTCAAATTCTTAATGTCATATCTCAGTTCATATTTGAGATACTGGAAAAAAAATTCAGTTTTCAACTTCCCTTGAAATTTTCTCTTAAAAGGAATATAAAAATTGAAAGATTCAAAAGTTTAAAAATTAATGAATGAATGACTTCAGCATATGCGACGTCATAATTTGACACTTGGCGTCTTCCTTTAAGCCAATTTGATTGGCCTTATGGTTTATATTTTCAGGCTAAGTTTGGTAAAGAAAGGCCTAAAGCAAAAAAAATAATGTATGGTAAATTAACCCAAATTGCAACGCTTTGATGAGCTCTTTTGATGTGGTTAAGCCCCACCTTGTTCATCTCGGAAAAAGACAAACTCATGTAAACTATGATGGATTGTTTGGTCTGTAAGGATGAAAATCAATGTTGTTTTATTTGTTGTTCTCTTAATTAGCTGGTTGGATGCCCTCCTTTCTCGAATAATCTATCAGGCAGGAGCCATCGTAATGAATGCCTCCAGAGATCGCGACCAAGTTAACCAAAAGATGGGAGAGATTGATAACCGTCTAAAAGCGATTGAAGAACAACAAAGTAAAGTCGTTGCTGACCTTCATCAGTACCTGAAGACACGTACAGATGTCGCTTTGGAGAAGCTATCAGAGTACCTTTCGTCGGAAGAAGTAAAAGCCCGCTTTACCTCATGGAGATTAGAGGAAGTACCAAGATCAGAAGACTCCTGGGAAGCAACAGAAAACCAAATCACAAAAGCGCTATCAAGTCGGCTCCGAGAATTCATAGAGCATTGGGAAGAATATAACAAAGTGTTTACAAATGCTCGTGCTTCCCTGGTGCAGTACTTTCAGACACGCTACAATTTTGTCGAAGGACAGCTGCTGAACCTCCAGAACGCCATCACCGCTGACGACAATGTTTTAGATGATCAGCTTTCAGAAACAAACTTATCCTTGACTCACAAGGTGGTCCTCGGTGTCACAAGTCCCATCTGGATTCCAATTGCTGTAGTTGATTTCGTGATAAGTGCTCCCTTTTTTGGTATGATGGCTATTCAAAGAAAGTTGGTGGATAGAATGAAAATAAAAGAGTACGAGGAAGATAGGTGTGCCTTCATGAGAGAGATTTCAAGAACATATCTCGAAGATATCGGGGAGAAAATATGGCTGAAACCTTTCGTAGAGGAGCAACTGAAAGAAGCCAAAGTCTGCCTCAAGCAGATTGAAGTCCATTTACCTGAATTAATAGAGGCAGACAAGATGCTGTACAACCAACTTCGTGAGGAAACCCGTTCACAGCAAGACATGAAAAAACTATACCAGCCAATTTGGAATAAAGGTTCTCATCTTAGAGGACGCCTGGCAGAATTTGGGTTCAAAGAAGTTCGAGTCACTGATATCAGTGCTGATAATCTGAACTGGAAGGAGGACACTTCTTCATGTCTTGGCTGCGGTGCATTTGGAGCTGTGTACCTAGGAAAGATGAAAAGAGGTGAAAAATCCCACACCGTGGCCCTGAAGGTGCACAATGAAGTGCTTGATGATAAAAATGCCACCCTTTTTATGGCTGAAGTACAAATGTTAAGGTGAGATATAACGTGGAACGATAACTCGCACGAGACATTAAAACAGATAGATCTAGTGTGAGGAAAAGGAAGTGATCGACGCTGATCGATGAGATACGATGAAATACTTGTATCTTCATGAAAAGCTTCTTGTGAGTCCATGCGAAATTTGGCTTTAGTTAAGAATCGAACAAAAGTCCGACTTTTCTTCATAATTTTAATCACACGCAACTAAGAAGTGGTGGCGTGTATACTAGTATAGATCGACACAGTGTGGGATCATTTGTTGTAGTTTCGATCTGATAGCACAAAAAATAATATTATTTATCTTTCTGTCATGATTTAATGCCTAACTGATAAAAAACCTTTGATTAGTCTTGCACGAGATAGACGATTTAGGTCACCTGGTCAGTTTAATAGGCCAGTTACTAGCGGGGGCTTGTGTCGTGATTTCGGACTGCCTATCCAGGGAATTAGGCACGGATATGGGCTCACAGTAAATGTAGTAACTTTCAAAAAATGAATGAATGAATAAATTTTGTTGCAAAATCGATTCTTAAACTGTTAGAACTTTACCTTCTAGCAATGGAAAACTAATATGTCTTCTAAATTCTTTGGTAGTATTTGTTGTTTGCAAACAATTATTCTTGCCCAGAGAAGAGGGGTAAACTAGAGTACGAATAGTTTTTAAATATAATTTAACTCTTTTTTCTTTTAATTACTTTTTTAGAAAACTGAGTCACCCTCACATTGTTAACTTTTATGGCACTTCACTGCTGCTGGAACAAGATTCCGTGAGAATTATTCTGGTTTTAGAATGGTGCACAGAAAACCTGCAGAACCACATCTTTAAAAACCACCTCTTAATTCCTGGAAAATCAGGAACAGATGATGCCAAAAAAAAAGGTCGTCAATGGGTCAAAGAAATCACTGATGCTCTGGCGTACATTCATGAACAGGGGATAGTCCACAGAGACCTCAAGCTTGAAAACGTCTTGGTATGATGCAAAGTGGTGTTTTAGTTTTCTCTCTTAATTTTAAAACCAACAAGCTAGTTAGTGGACAGCGATCTGATATTGATAAAAAATTACCAAGATAACGTTTAGACATCACTGTAAAACATATTATCATTTGTGGCAAATTTTTCAATTTTTCCTCCTTTTCATTGGCCGAGAGCCCACCACGTGACCTGCAAATAACTGCCTACAAATAATGGTCTGCTCATGGGCAATAAAAAGGTCATCCAACCTTGTTGGGCTGCAAATATTAATCTTCTGCTCATGCGTAAATGAAACCACGCTTTTCTCCTTCTTGCGATCACTCTTGCTTGAAAATGGAAGATCTCTTCCCTTCCCGAAGAAGAAAAATTAAACTCGGTGATCAAGTGATAAAACAATTATCTCACCGCTAAAGTCAGTGATGGATTAAATCTACGGAACACTTTCGACGTTGACTGCGCTGATTTTTCAATGCTCCAGGCATGCATCGTGTCATGAATACACTTACTGCATGAAAATGGTTGTTTTGAAAACAACAGGAAAGTGCAAAAATAGCCTTCAAAACTATTCTTGACCATCTTTCATGTTAAGGTGTTTCGATGCAGTTTTTCAGAGCTAGGCCATACCGATATTTTTCAACCGCTTCAAAAGTGATTTTATCCTTGTCTGATCGCTATAAAATTTTCACCGGTGATTGACTATAGATTAAAATTTTTCAAAATGTAGGTTTTAGTAAAATCGATATTACTATGACAACAATAAACAAAAGACCTTGAAATTGATAAAAGCCGCATTTTGCGCGATCTAGACCAGCTACTGAAAATCCAACACTAGGAACTTAAAGTTTGGTGTTTAGCAAATAACTTCCGGAAGAAGTAAAAAATTCTGTATGTTTGAATTCGGCTAAAACGAAAATATATTTCAAACCTAAAATTTTCAATAGCAATGATAGATTATTTAATAAAAACGTTATAAATGACTCAAATTATTCTTAAGTAGCGTCAGAATGCTGCTTAACTGAATATCAAATTTTGATGGTAGGAAATTTTGGTGTATTTTCGTTCTTGCGATCTTGAAAACTACCTTTTTCTCACCACCTGTCTAAGTGCAACGTCGTTCAAAATTTCGACTTTCAGCGTTATTTTGTATAAAACGACTCGAGCGAATTTTTTAAAATCTCTTCACATAATGTATATAATAATGTCTGAAACGTTCATTAGATTGATTCACTGCAACATCTCGAAATTTCAAGAGAAACCTATCCTACGAATGGGTCAAAAATCCGCGCTACAATTTTCACTGTTTTGACGTTATGCTAATTTTTTCCAAATTAATGCGGACAATACATATACATGTATCCATGACTAGTAGATTTCAGTGTGAGTATTGTCAATGTTTTACATTCAAAAGATGCGATAAATTCAAACTATAATGTACTAGTCATGGATGCATGTATAGTGCGAATTATTTTCTAAAAATTAGCATAACGTCAAAACAGTGAATGTTGTAACGCAGATTTTTGACCAGTAAGTAGGATTTGGGTTGAGTCATTTATAACGTTTTTATTAAATAATCTATCACTGCTATTGAAAATTTAATGTTTAAAATATACTTTCGTTTTAGTCGAATTCAAACATACAGAATGTTTTACTTCTTACGGAGATTGTTTGCTAAACACCAAACTCTAAGTTCCTATAGTGTTGGATTTTCAGTAGCTTCTAGATCCGCACAAAATTCAGCTTTTACCAATTTCAAAGTTTTTTGTTTTTTTTTGTTGTCATAGTAATATCGATTTTCCTTAAAACTACATCTTCACAAATTTCAATCCATGGGTAATTACTGGTGAATTTGTTATAGCGATCAGGCAAGGAAAAAAACACTTTTAAGGCGATTGAAAAATATCGGTATCGCCTCTGAAAAACTGTATCGAAACACCTTAAAGCCTTTGGAAAAAAAATTGAAAAGGACGTGGTCCTAGGAGGGAGCCACAGGCAGCCGAGTTAACAGTGAGGTAGTTTTTAACACAAAAGATTTTAGAAGGATAAAGCTCTGGGTTGTTTGAGCTGAAATAATCCGTATGCAAGGCTGAGAGAGGCTAGTATGGGCCCCCTAGACTCAGGGTTTCTCCTTAAGCGAGTAACGTACAGTAGTGTTACAAGACACTAAGTGTTCTTAGCATGCTCAACTGTACTCTGATCATGATATACTGAGAAGGTATAGTAAAGAACCAAACACATTCCGGCCTACTTCTAAAAAATGAGAGAGCGACTTTTTAAAGCATTTCACTACGACAATTTGAGATAAGGCACGGCCTAGAGTTGATTTTAGTATAGAAGATTTTTTCAGGAGAAAATTATACGCTATCTACTGTCAGAACAACAAATGAAATAATTCTTCGTCTTGCTGATGAAACAACATTGTTCATGTAAATGTAAGTTCTTCCTTCTTTGTTTCTTCTTTGTTTCTGGTTGTATTTCCTTTGATTTTACCTGCCACCTACAACCTAAATTGTTCAGGGAGCTAACATTGGCTTCCCAGCTTGCACATTATTCTCATTCCATTGAAATCATTTTGTACTGTAATTAAATTTACTGGGGTGTAATATTAACCATGTACATCGACAAAAGTATAATCAAGATTCTTATTATTATTATTTATTAATGGGTATGGTAATTTAACAGTGAAATCCTACTTTAATTTAAGTTTCCGTCTTCTTTTAAGCTGTCAGAGGAAAACTCAGTGAAAGTTACAGATGTTAAGATATCTAAGGCAACAGTAGACACTACTGGTACTCTTGCTGGAAGCCCTGCCTACATCGCACCAGAAGTGTTCCACTATAAGGTGTATGACAGCAAAGCAGACATCTACAGTCTTGGTATAATGTTGTGGGAGATCTGGTACGGCAAACACGCGTTTTCAAGCATTAGATTCTTGAACCTAGAAGACTTCTTCAGGGAAGTGGATAGGGGGTGTCGTCCAGAACATTTAGAAGATCACGTGGATCCTCCTCCTCGCTGGGAAGAACTCATGAAGGAGTGTTGGCAGGCGATGCGAGAGAAGCGTCCTACAGCTAAGCAATGTTATGAACGAGTTTTAGATTTTTTTTAAGACTGATAAAAAGGACTTCAAAAGTTTTTGCTGTTGTAATTTGGTGCATGGTATCAAAAAATCAAATTATAGTAATAAGTTGATAACAACAAGCAAAACAATTCAGAAAACTATTCTAAGCCACCTAACTCCTCGAACATCCAAGGCTCTTTTGCACACTAGGTGCCTGTAAATGGAGAATTTAGATGATAAAATAGGTAAGTGATAACAAGCTGTTAAAGACAAACGTTTGGAGCTGGCTGGACTTAGTGAAATGTGATTGTCGTTGTGCATGCTATGTAAGACCTACTTTTTCAATGTTCTTTGATTAGGCATGTCCAATGTATTCCCCAGCGTGGCACATGTTACATACAATACAGCTAATACACAGAAAAGATGACATCAGCAAAGCACAATAGGCAATACCGTGACCCAAAAGAATTATGGGATTATTAAAGAAACTAAAGTTTTGCACTTCATTAATTTAGCAGAAAACAAATGCTTGAAAAGTGTTCATGATGGGAAGTTACGATCTTCGCTTGCGCGCCATTTTTCCAGAAGTTCAGATGCTGTTTGAGACCCTCTACGCTGGCCAAATGCGTAACATTCCGTAGTTAACGTAATATATCAAGCATGGGACGCAGTGGTTTATCACTAGATGAAACACCGAGAAGACAGTTGAAAATACGACGCGCAGCGGAGTATTCTTGACGAACTTTGAGGTGATTCCGTTGGTGATGAAACACTGTGTCGAATACTTGATATTACTTCTCAAACAAAATGATTTTAGAAGGAGAAATTAAGGATGCAAAATTGACCGGTTATTCATCTGATTTCCAAACGCTCACTAAACATTTAAATTTCTATTGTGTTTTTTTAATGAATTATTAATGAGTTTGAGAAATACGTATCATGCTCCCTCCTTTTTATCTGCTCAGCATCCTCAATCTTATAAACAATGTATTGGGGCTCCATTTTGTATACATTGACCACAAAGTGCAAGGGATTCAAATCTGCTATTGGGTGTGCATCGTTACCAAACATGGAGATTGAAGTGCTTTTAGTTGGCTACAAAGCATTTTGAATAGCAAATAGCTCTCTATGCGTACACTATTAATTAGCCATCTTAAGGATATTCAGTTATGACTTGCTATATATACACGAACAGTAAATTTGTACGTGTAATCAAATGGTGACGAGTGAAATTAGGGAATAATTTCACGCGCGTTTTGTTCAAATCCTAATAATTTCCCAAGCGTTTAGGGGAGGGAAATTATTAGGATTTGGACAAAACGTAAGTGAAATTATTCCCTAATTTCACGAGTATACTATTTGATTACCTATTAATATCATGGGTGACGAATTAGCAATCTTGGATCCTTGACATGTTTATCCTGGATCGTATCGATCGAGAACTCCACTCTCTCAAATGTTTAGACCTTAAAGTCGGCTTAAAAAGTTGAGAATTTTTCACACTTTTTCGGCAAAATACCTGTTAGAATCCTTCTTGATGTTCTCTTGTGTGTTCAGGTTTTCTAAAGCGTCTTTTTGTGCCCTGACATCTTCATTCACTGCATTTTAAAACTTTGTCGCCATCTTGACACTGAGACGTACGGAAGGGTTGCCATGGCAATTTGGTAATTTCACATGTGAAATTAATATATAGATTTAGCCACAGCTAAAAGCGAAGCTCCCATTGATAAATTTATAACTTAAATCAAACAATAATTTTGTATTCCACAAATCAGTTAACTTAAAGCTACTTAAGGGTACATTCATGTGACTTTTGAGGGAAAAGCTAAGTGATTTTGGAGTGAAACAAACCTTGTATCGAGTTGATATAGCCTTATATGTACATCCAAAAAATAGTCTTCGGTCAAATTTATGAGCAATAATGGCTCTTGATCACAGTAGATAAGGCGTGGAAAACAAATTCTTGGAAAACAAATCAGGCCGAATTTTTTGCGTTCGACAAGTTTATTCTTGCCAATGAATCTGTGTGCGTGCAAACCATTCTTTTATTTATTTATTTTTTTTATACACCACATCTGAGGAGAAAGAGTACCATGAGGCGCTTTTTTTATCATACAGACCTCGTACAAAATGCAGTATTTCACAATTTTTCAAGACAAATTGCATTCATTCAATACTCAGGACCATCGAAGCACGCGTGGACTTTTAATCAGAGAAACCGTTCAAAAAATGTCCAAAATCACCTATACGGCCGGCCGGTTCTAACTTTTGACAAGCGCCAAATTTGCAAAGAAATTTTAAAAGAGTTACGCTTCAACGTGATAAAGAATTTATTGAGTCTATTTTTTCTTAATGGTTTTATAACGATGTGTGTTCTTAAAAAGCGTTTGATACGTTCGGCATTTTGAGTACTCCTGCAAGCGATGTTTATGAACGCCTGAAAACAAACGGCAAAGCGAAAATTACACTTTTGAGACTACCAACAATCAATAAAGAAATATAATTCGGTAGAGCATTTACAGAGACAACAATCTTCATTCACGAAAACAAAAAATGAGTATTTAAGTATCTCTAAGAATCCTCAAGTCTTTACTAGTAAGCTTAAAGATTAAGTTTATGTTTTAAGCCGCCGGTTTCCAGGTGTTTGCTTTTTTTTAAAGATGAACTCACGACAAGAAAATCGCTCAAAGCTTTCTTTCTACAGCCAAAATTATAACTAAATATTCTTCTAAAGGCTTGTTAAAGTTTTGTAAGCTTAAGCTTATATCAAACCTCATACTAGGTCCGATCAGTGTCTCAGTCAAATCTTGATACAAACGTGCATAAACTAGCTTCATAAACCGCGCCGTTGGACTTCGTGAAATTAGATGTAAATACAATAATTACTCAGGCTTACCATATTTCGAGATGCAGCTCCTGAAAGCTATCAAGTAAGGCAAGGATCCCTTGAACCTTTATAATTCTCGTACGCATCCAGCAAGGTGAAAAACAAAAACGATGCCATCCGAGATCGGATTATCGACGCATTTCTCAGCCAAAAACCCAATAAACAAACCAGCCATGAATAAGAGAACACTCTTGATAGCAGCTGTATTGCATTTTTTATATCCAGTGAAAAAGACCGTTAAAAACATCACAAGTTGACGCAAAACTCTGTCAGTTTCAGCTGTCAAAGTAAACAAATTTCAAGATGCTGCATAAATTTTACGCATGAACTCACCTGTCAAATTTTAACCAATCAGAGCATAAAAATTGGACGTGGAGCGTGACCAACACGTGACCATGGTTAGAAAAGGTCTTACCCGCCTGTATTTTAAAAAAACTGGCTGAATTTTTGCGTCTGAGGTCAGTTTGAAATCAAAATCGTAATAGTGCGGGGCGATACTGACATAAACACAACATATTTGACATGAATTTAAAAAAAATTAGTAAACGTGAGCCTGCGATTATTTGAAAACGTTTAAATTGTAAGCGGATAACTTCAAAAAAATACTCGACCTTGATGGATCGACACCTGAGCCCGCGATACGGTCAGGTGATACTGGTCAGCGGATACCCTGTTTTGACAGTTGTCAATTGATGACAACATTGACGTGCAATCAGCTTTCTCCTGGGCTCCCAAGGTAGCTAGAAAGTGTGAGAGTAAACATTGGTATGCCTGTGGTGCGGACGGACGGGCAGCGGGCGGGCGGGCGGTGAACGGTCACGTGATTACCAAATTTTCTGGCATGGGTAGATTTACTTACCCATGGTGCTCCGCAGGCGCGCTTCGCGCGCCAGAGCTCCGCTACAAATTAACGCTGAAATTAGGCGCCAAAATTAAGGAGTAATTCGTCACCTATGATATTAAGATAGAAATTACGTTTTAACATATTAAGTTTTTATACGCTTTTGTACTATAGAGACGAACGTTTTGATCATACATCAGAAATACACAAACCGTCATTCCAGCTGATTACAGTTATTGTTTTAGTCACTTTAACCCCAGAAACTCCATTCTTGATCCCGTCTGATTTCTCATGTAAACAAAACGAAAGGCGCGGCTTCAAATAACATAAGAAGCAAAAAGGAAGGTCCAAGGCTAAACCGCGATTAAGATAGCAATGCAAAAGGTCTTTAAATGAAGGGTAAGAGCCCCAATCGCTTCACAGGAATACAAAGTAAAGCACCGGACAAAGGGTACACTTGTCTTATCTTTCTTTTCTTGAACATAAACTTAAGGGTGAACATTTTCGAATTAAATTTGTTCCGACATGAATCCCATTCTGATCAATCGTATCGTTGATTTTCGTGAGTTGCGAAAAAGCTGTCCACGTTAATCACCGTTCTGTGAGCCTTATTTGTCAGCTCACTTAAGCACTGTAAGTATCCCGGAGAGCTCCATACAATTCCTTATAACAAAATTACAAGGAATTGTATGAAGCTCTTCCAGGACACTTATCTTCATTAGCTTAGGTGCGGCGGATTTTGTCACGTATGATCAGCGCGTGGTGTTTTTCCCGACACCCTTCTGTCAGGAAAACTTCATCATATGAAAGCAAACCAGACACGATCGCTTCAGCAGGCCGAAGCCGGCAAAAATTAAAGGCTTTTCTTCTTCCATTTCAGAGGTCAGTTTTGTTTCGATCTGGTCAAAATAAATCAGGTTTTTAGGTTGTACGTAATGAAATATTGTCTTATTCAGTTCTCAAGGACCTTTAGAAAACGAAATAGACGAGATAATTGACTCGACAATAGTTATTTTTCTATACTTGAATGTAAATGTACCTGAAGGAAATGCCGTGTATTACCTTACCTTACCTCTGTAATGTGTGTAAATTTGTCTTTTGCAATGGTTTTAGACAATACGACTTCTCCTGACTATCAGTTGTGCGTCAAAACAATGTATCAAGCGTGCGATAAAGAAATAGTCGAAGTGCCATGGTGTAGCACTTTATGGCAAAGTTTTAACTGGAAAACTGTTTTCCATCTCATGTACACCTGTATAGTCTATGTTTGTTAGCTCTGCCTAAGGAATCACTGGGTTACACTGCACTCATGGCTGTGCC